ATTCCTGCAGCCCTTCTTCCTCACCAGTGATTCTGCCTCTTGCCTTTGCCATCACCATACATGCACACAGGTATAAATGCAGCACTGACAGAATATGTAATGCAGTATGAAATTAATCCAATTGTGAAATTTCTAGCCACATGATTTTTCCAAGCAGGACAATCAGTTTCAAACCTCACATTAAACTGGAGGACACCAAGACTAAGTAGATTAAAAAACCTGAGATATTCTACTGATGAGATATACTGCAATGGTATGCAGTAAGCAAAGTCATAAATAGTGCTGAAATTGGAATAGGAGGAGATTTGACTATGACTTTAAAAACACATTTTAGCTCTCAGTAGAATATGGTTGCTGAAAATTGCTTCATTATATTGATAGGCTTAAAAATTATTGCTAATTATCATATACTTCTTACAGTGGCAGGAATTCTGGACAAACATATGAAGTACTTTCTAATTAAGACTGCTAGTATTCTAATTACTATCAGTTGCAGCTTCTGTATGCTGGAGACAGTAAACTGTAGTTGAATTTTGGTCTATTGCCGTAAAGACTTCTCAAAATTGATCAGATTCATGTGAGCGAATATTGAGATTCCTCCAAACCTATAAACGAACCAAAACACCAAGGAAATTAATCTCTTCTGTAAGCTCTGAAGCAAAGTTTTAAAAAGTAAAAATAAAGTATCAAATGTTTGGGGATACTTAAGATCCTTATAATAGCTTAATCCTAAAAGGTGCTGCACATCTCCTAGAAAAACATTAAGTACCCAGAATTCCTAACGATTTCAAGAAATTTGTGGGGCACGCCACTGTGCAGAACTTGAGCATCTAGTATTCAGGTTACTGACACCCTGTTTCCATTGATGAAAAGCTGAAAGAAATATTGTAAGTAACAAGAACTAAAGCATTAGGAACAAAACCAAATTAAATCCTCCCCCTAAAGAGGTTGCTCCTGACTTCAAACTTGCTTTAGCCCGTTCTTATTTAACCAGACCACGGTCAGGAGGTCATGTTGCAAGACGTACCTGAGAGGTCTTCGAGAGCAGGCTGTCCAGTTTTGACATAAAGAGCAGAATCCATGCTGACCCCTCCTGTGCTAGCCTCAGCTGTTACGTTCCCTTCATTGTCTGTCTGTGATCTGGAAGGCAAAGCAAAACAGAGATGTGCAGTCACTCTCCATCAAAAGTACCTCAAGTATAGCAACTAGACAATTGCACCCGCCATCAGCCACTCTGTCCCTCTCTCCAGACCAGACCAGCAGACTGATTTTACATAATTCATTAGTCCCATGTTGAATTATGTCCTAGAAATGGAAACACGCGCTCAGCTGTAAAAAATAAAAAATTCATAGTCAAAGATAGGCTTCACAGCTCTTCAGACAGGGTCTTAAGACACTTGGATTTCCAGCTAAATTTTAATTGGCAATTACATCATTCATTGTGGCTAATTTGATCCTCTCTAATAAAGTCTGTATTGCATTAATATAAAGCAGGTAGTACGACACGGCATGTTATGCTCCCTCTAGTTTCCCCTTCAGTAACTAGCAATGTCACTCATTTGTATTTTAAAACAAATAACTGGGTAAAACCAACTTCAAACTCCAATTTCTTATCTGAACGTGTGGCTGTCAGGTAACGAAAGGTAATGTCCTAAGTAACTATTGTTAGATTTGAGTAATCTTGACTAATTTAATTTCACTAGTTGTGCTGTATTTTGCTCGTAGAGCCACATCAACAAGCGGCTGGAAGTTCTGTCCAAAGGCAAAGTGCTGTTCAAAAGTGGAGATGCAGCAGGGAATTACTATTACAGTATTCTTAATCTTAGTTGACCCTATATGAAATGTAGAACAATTTCTCATGTCTTTCACTTTAAAAAAAAAACCTGCCCAAACAAAAACTAGGTAGGCAAAAAGTTTACATTAAAGTAACCTTAACTGACAGCAGAAAAAACCTGAGACCACTACTGCAATGCATTAACAAGTGCATTCTGCAGATTCAAAAAATGTCTGGATAGTAGATTTAGAATAACACTATGCATTTCTCTTGCAAATCAATACAATTCGTTTTTTTTTTCTTTTAAAGCCAGCAACATTACAGTTTACCTTTTTTCCTCCAATGCTGAAAAGTAAACATTATTTTTTCAACGTCTCAGCATTTTCTCCAGCTGCCACAGGTAGTTTCATCACTGTTTTTTGTAAAAAGTCAAATAAATACCGCCTAGAGTTTATCAGTATGTTTAGGTTATAGAAAACGTACAGATTGCATCTCCTTTTACACTTTAAATGATGATATCTATGTTCAAACCAAGATGAACAGCAAGTAGAGTGCTTTTTACTTTATCTTTTGATAGGACATTGTAGTGACAAACTTAACAACCCAAAGCATCATGGACACATTTTTGGAGGTTATGGGGGATAAACAATCAAGCAATCAGTTTGCAATCACAATTTTCTATTTAATTATGGAGTAAAACAGTACAAACAGCATTGGCAACTTTTAACTCAAATCTCCCAAAAATGACTAGTAGTAGATCCCACCTTCAGCCAAAGATGCAACAATAATGCTGATGTACATAGGTGAAGGCAAGAGCAAGGGAAATCAAGAATATGTAGGTTAGTTGTGACCCCATTTGGCTGCTCTTTTGTTTATCTCATTCAGGGTTAATTCACAGAACATCAGACTTCGTGCTTGACCTTATCTATACTAAGGGATTTTTATTTTTCTTTTATTTTTTATGATTTCCCATTATTGCTTATAGTGCTGCAGCTCCACCACTATTAGCCACACTGAAGAGAATGAGCGAATCTATGTCATAAATTGGTGTTGCTACAACTTTTGAAGCTATGGTGCATAAAATAAACCTAGTCCACGTGGCACAAACCCAGGTAAGAGCAATACCTGGTCAAGAAGGTGTTAGCATTCTCATCTTGCTGTTAGTAGGGTCAGATACAACAATTACTCACCCTCCTATCTATCACAACTTCTTACACATCTTAGCCTGCTGGCCATCACCAACAGTTTTTGTGTAAGTGTACAAATTGTCTACTCTTTTAAAGCAAGAAACCTCTACACGATGTGGCGCTCATCTTGCTGCCTCACCCCCTTATAAGAGTGTCCAAAATGAACCTGCCTATCTAAGCATCACGTCCAAAACAGCCCATTGGAGAAGCTCACCGTACCTGTACAGGAAGGGAGCGACCGTGGCAGTGTTCGGGTGGCTGTATTGCTGTTGGGGATGAGGTAGCTGAACACTCACAGTATTGCTCCCTGTGGTGTGTGTTGTTGCGGCGGGTCCGTTGACAGCTTGGCTGCTGCTGCTGCTGTGGAGGCCTCCTACACCTTTTCCTTCTGAAGAGGCTAGGCTGGACGAGGAGCTGGAATGCCTGCTGTCCAGCTGAGACTTCTGATGAGAGAGCCCCGAGCCGGCTTTCCCGCTGCGGCTCCTCTCACCTTCCTTTGCAGGAGCGGGGGCACTTGAGGATTTTCCTGTGGTGTTTTTCATTCCTGGTTTTGGTATTCCACTGTGCGAAGGGGCAGAGGCCTCCTTCTTGGCACTATTTAGCTTTCCTCCTTTCGGGATAAAGCTTGCGATCTTGGAGGACTTTTTTGGCATTTCTGTTGCTGCTAGTGCTGTCTGTTCTTCTTTTGGTTCCTCTTTCAGGTCCAGCTTTTCAGTGATAGATGTTCTCTTTGCAACATCTTTACTTTTATCCTTTTCTTTCTCTTTTTGTTTCTCCTTATCCTTCTCATTACCCTTTGGAGAACTTTTCTTGTTAGTCAGTGCCCGGCTAAAAGTCCTTTGTGCAATTCCCTTGAGTGCAATTTTGGGACTACTGGACATCGATCCTGGGTTGCTCACATTCTGATTCGTGGCATCAATTTCTTCACTCTCCTCAAAGCTGAGAAGCATCTCTAGCTTTTCACAACTGTCGTCCCGAGACCCCGGACACTCAAGCGCTGTCCCTCCTGCTTTGGAGCCTCCTTTGCTATTGAAGAGTTTTAATTTTTCAAGCATGGATTTTTGACCATTGGGAGTTGTTTTGGCGATTTCCAAGGGTGGCTTTGGAGGCTCTGACACGGGCTGCTTTACGGATAACATGGAAGACGTAGCTGTGTGCTTAGCACTAAGGGACTTGCTGCGCCAAGGCTTAATAGCAGAGCTGGGCTGAGGGATGGCTGATGAGTTATTGCAACTAACAGTACTGCTGCAGCTTTGAACTGAGGATGAGACATTTTCATTCATTCCTGTGGGCTGGGAGGGTGTACTGTCTGCAGAGCCTGGGAAAAAAAAAAAAAACAACCCCAAAAAACAACACAGTAGTACCTGATATTACAGCTAGTCTGAGATTCTTCCTGTACTGAAACATTAAGAACTTTGCACTAATAGCATTAAAAAGGTAGACACATATTAGTATTTTCAACATCAGTATCACCTGAAGAAAATAAAAGCCAGTTTTCTTCTCCTGCCCAGCAGAACAGCAATGAGCTCCTTACTATGTAATTTACATTTACTTGCTGTTTCAAGAAAAGGAAAAAAAAAAAATCTCCCCTCAAACCAAAACATGTTTTGCAATGTGTTCTCCCTTATTAAGTTCATAATACTTTTTCATTAGCAAAAACACAGCACTATTTTCTAACTAAGGGTTCCCTCTGCTTTTGGCAAAATACTTGCTGTCCAAGTTCAATTCTTAGAAAAACCTCAAACATATAAAAAATATGCAGGAGTAAGGAAAAAATTAAAACTGAAGTCCTTTCAGTTATTGGGAGGGGGGGTGCGCGCGTGTGTGTGTGTGAGATCTTCATATGCAAAAGGTAGAAGAAAACTCCACGTACAAAAATAAAACCAATTGTGTCCTCATGCAATGAACCTAAATTAAGAATTATCATGTATCTTAATCCAGCTATAAGAGAAACTAGTGGTAGTAAGTGTACAGTCCTCCCCCCTCGGAGAAAGCAAGTCTCTTATTTGTTTAGTTCCTTTTAATGTTATTTGTTCTTGTTAAGAAATTAGTTCAGAGCTTAAAGAGAGCTTGAAAAATCACACTCACCTACCAGTGGCCACTTCTCCTCTGAAGTTTCTCTTTGCCGAGTTTCCTTTCTGGAGACGTTACTCTCTCAATTATCACAAATATGTTTTCTGTTAAACTGCTCATGTTTCCAATTAACGTTTGTCATCTATGTCTGTTCGCCTGCCCAGCAGCCTGCTGGGGATTAACGGCTCTTACCTATATTTCTCTGCCCTCGAGCAATAAAGTAAACTGTGTATAGAGCTGCATTTTTTTAATTCAAAAATCAACAGCGGTTGAGAGCGTGCGTTTTCGGCAGCAGGAGCAGCCCTGTGAATTCAGCCCTGTAAATCATGAGCTGCTGCAACCACACAGAGACTGTTTTACTTCACTTTCAGCTGCTCAGTGAAGATACGGCTCTGTTAACCTCCCTCCTCTGATCCAAACCAGATCTACTAAAGATTTAAAGCACATACATCTTCCTGACTTAGCGTAGAATCGGGTTTCTAAGAGTATTAGAAACTGCTTAATAATGAACTCAGTCATTTCACGTGATATGGACAAAGTGGGATAGGAGGAATTAATGATACTTTAAAAAAATGTTACTGAAGTCAGAAGATTTCCAGGACTCTGTTATTAACTAATAACTGTTATACTGGCCAGTTTTGCTAGTCCTTTCCCTATGGCAAACTACCCACATGGAGCTGGAAGGAAGCAAGAGCTGGATTACAAACACAGAAAGGAATTGTACTTCTTTTAAGCTAGTGCCAGTCTCCTAACTTCCAGGGCATTTCTCCAGTTTTACTCTAGCACAGAAGGAAATTCAAGCCACCAAACACCCCAAACCGCAATGCCACCTGGTCCCCTCGTTGCTCAGCTCAATTCAATCTGATGGGTTTAGGACTGAAGCAGTGATAGCGTAGGAGTTGCAGTGACTCCCAGTGCGAGGGGAGCCAGTGACCCACCATCACAGCACCCTGCCCATGGACAAGAGAGGAAGGAAGGTCACAACTAGCTCAGTAGCCGCTGGAAATGTTAGTGCCTCTGCTTTCAAAAGCTGTGCACCTTTGCCTCTTACCATACACAGCTGCTTTGTTATGATTTTTATTTCCTAAGTCCTCCTACCCATCAAAATCTACTTCCCATTGCAACACTGAATCATGCTCCTTTTGTAAACTCAGAACAAGCAAGCCTTTGTCTCAGCCTGCCTTCCACAGAAGACGCCCAGCAACATAATGAAAGGGTCACAAAAATCCCAATTGTGCATCATTTACAATTCATTTGTATAGCTTCTTTTAAAAAAAATAGTAATTGCCCATCTCAGTATTGGGATACATCTTCAGAAACTGAAGATTCACAGAACTTTCAACGCTAAGCTGCTAATCCAAATGCATTCTGGCCTAATCGTGCTAAAGGAATCCCAACACAAAGTGCACCCGTGCCCATAAATCATCACAACTGCCTGTGATTCATGAACATATCTAGGGCGAATTTACAACCGGGTCCAGGGATGAACCTAATGTACTAATCAATATGGGCAAGGAACTCTATCTTCTCAGAAAAACTGAGTGGCAAGGAGTAATGGGACTGGGACGATGTACGGGTGACAAATTGAAAATTACTGGTAAGGGATGGAACTATAAAGTAGAAGAGCTGGTTGCACACTCTGTTCGTACAACACAGGCAGCAACACAAACCCAGCTCGGGGTGAAACGGCGTTCAGTCTGAGCACGCAGCCAACTGAACAGAAACCTGTATTCTTCCCAAACAGGTTCTTACAACAGTTTGAAAAAAATACAGGCAACGTGTGTATTAGTATGAACAAAGCCATCCTGCATTCACCAGAACTCAGAGCCTATGCAGAGTCCTTGTGTGGGCTGTGACCCCGCAGGCTGAAGCACACACCTGAGACAAGAGCTACCCGAGTGCCAGGCCGTGGTCCATAACCTAGCTGTGAAGTCTGACTCCATCCCAAACACTGAGCTAGCTGTCAACACACTGCAGATCAGCTGCGGGAGCAGAAACCAGAGGCAACCCACATCAAAACAGGGTTCCTTCCAGCTCTAAGATGTTTTCCTGGAAGTGGATGGTTCATTTGGGATGTCAACGTCATCCTAACAGTGCAGGTGAGGGCCCCAGTCCATGGACTTTTGGGGAAAACGCTTTGCTTGGATCAAGTGAAATGGCTTGTTTTCCAAATCCAAAAGCATTGCTCAAAATTCATTGCCCAACAAAGCCCAGAACTCTTTCATTTCTCCTTTCTTTGAATGTTTTCAGGGTTTTTTTTTTAAATTCTGTTTGGTCACTGAACAAAATACACTTTTTTCAGTTTGTTTGTTTCTAAACACAGTGATCGCTTTGTCCCCAACCCCCCCACATACGCCCTCCTGTTTGGAACTTAATTTTGTTTCCGTTGCCAATGGCGTAGGATGAGTACAATATAACTCCATTTACAGAGCTGCTCCTCATTTACAGACATGTCAGAAAAATCAGAATTAGGACAACGATACTATGACTGTAACTTTTTAAAAAATGAACATATTGGGACATTAATGTAATTTTCAGAGTCTCTACCTGACAAGTGAATTCTGTGAACACTGGATGCTACACATCCAAAATGAATGAAAAATATTTACAAACTCTTAAATATACATGTTAAGCAGCTACACTCTGGGAAAGGAAAGAAGAGATTTTCTTGCACAAGTACAGTGCATTTTGATTCATACTCTGGTCAAATACAGTGAAACTGGAAATTCAAAGTCCTTGAGTTTTTATTATATTGCACCACGCACAGTTAATGCAAGAAATGAAAGGTTCACCATAAAACACACTTGTGAAAAATGGCCTCAGCTTAAGAAAACTTCAGTCTTTTTAAGATTCTCTGTTTCTTTCTTACAAACAAGACTGCTGGCTCCTTTACTCCTCAGACCAATCTTGGTAAACGAAAAGGGTTCTGCTGCCAGAATGTAGATTCAAATGCTAGGTTTCCTAATGAAGCAGTAACATCAATACGTGGATAACACATCAGCATGCAGAGGGGAAAGTTTTATTCAGCGTAGCATAGGCCCTTCTTTCATGAAAAGGAGAGCAGGTTTCATGCATTCAATTAATAAGCTTATTATTTCCCATGTGTTCCTTTGTGAGGGAGATATTTTCTTTCTTCAGCAACCTGCATTAACTAAAACTGACTATAAAAGAAATGTTTTCAAACCCAAGCTACAGTCTACAATAAATAATGATCGCTTTCCCCTTTTCAAAGTCAAATCTTGGCCTGAAATCTATTTTGTTCCTAGCGTTCCTGCTAAAAAAGATGTTGGTGGTCTAGTTCCAATGCCAATATGCACTGTAGCATGGGCAAATCTGATTTCAGCTGTTCCTGCACAGTCTTAACTGCATCCGCAAACCTTCCCATTTGTGATGGGGAAAAAAGGAGTCTGAAGGCTTATGATTTAATTCTTCCACTGAAGTCTTTGACAGCTTACGTTATAATGTCAGGAGAAAATTTATGCAATTTCCCATCATTTGTCACATTCACTCTAAGCAAGTGGACTTTGATTTGCTATAACTGAAAACTTTCAAAAACAATCATTATAAGCACGAATGGCAACACAAAGACAAAGGATGTTCTCATAGCTACTTCTCCTTAGGAGGGTCAAGAACTTAACAGCATTTTTATTCATTTTAGGATGAACAAGCTGTCATTTTTTATTTCACAGCTATGGGAAAAATAAGAAGTTCTCATGAAGAGAAATATCTTTCAGTCCAGCCCATAGATTAGATAACCGAGTTAAAAGCAAATCCACAACCAAATTCTAATTTAGGAAGTAAAAGCCGATCTGCTCTATGACATTACAGTGTCAGAACTGCAGAAACCACTGTGGCAGTTTCATCATTTCCCATCTAGAGGAATAACTGGTGAGTCTTGATCCTTCCCATCCACCCACCAGAAGACTCTCCTTCAAAGCACTACAAATAAGAGTCCTACAGAGAAAAGCTTTTTAGCTGATCTATTCTCTTCTTCAGTACTGATTTATCATGCTCAGCAAACCCCTACAGTATGGAAATGCCTGCATTTCTGCCAGAAGCTGACTGTAAAAATCACAACCGTTCCGTAATCCAAGCCATGGGCAGGTAAAGCAGAACATTACCAACAAAAGCAACCTGGTACACAGCCCTTCCTCAAAATAAGCACAAGTCTTCTGGCCCACGGAGGTTTCTATTTCAATTGTAACATTGCTGATCAGAGAGAACTATAGCTGGGTGGAAGGGACT